TCAGTCGAGCTTCCCAAAACCTACCCAGAACCTGACTCTGCGCCTCTCCCCATGACAGCCGCAGTCACCTCCAACATCTCGAGCCGCGAACCGCGAACCGGGACTCAACTCCCACCTCCTACCAATCACGTCATCCTCCAACTTCTCCACCCCAGCGATCCCTCCCAACAGACTCTTTTCCCTCGGCCTCAGCAAACGACACAACTCCCAAGTCCCACCCCAAAGACCTGACATGACCTGCAAAACCCTCCAGCCTCTCTAAGCTTCTCTCTGCATCTAACAACGCGAGGACTTCCCAACCTCTCCCTGAGACACCAAAAACCCATCACTGTCAGTATCTCTCTGTATTTGATCTGAAGAACCCTTTTCTGTCTCTCGAATGACTCATCTCTCCACTGAGCAGAACACCCAAAGTAACTGATTAAGCCTCGATCCGCGCACCCGCTAGGGCCAAAGCAACATATAGATCTCTGATGACCAACGCGCGTCCGGGCCACCAAACGACCCCAACTAAGGCCAACCAGAAGCCAACGACCAGTCCCACCCCGACCGAGCCCCCAAACTCCGTCAGATCCCAATGAGGCCTCACCCAACAACAGCCCACACGCCAGCCCACGTCATCTTGAAACAGTAAAACCCAGTCACGTTGTACAGTAAAAGGTGTCTGCGTGTACAGTACACGGGCATGCGGCGGATTTCTTTCTTTCAATGAGTATGGGTTGGATATGGATATCCATTTACTTGAGGGTGTTTTAACTACACATACAAAAATTGGACCTATTTGTAAAACCTGAAAAATTTAGGTGCCAAAATGTAAGACCAAAAAATTTAGGTACCAAAACGTAATTTTCCATCTATATTTTGAGGACTTATATGCAAAAAAAAAATTAAATTTAGGTACTAAATATGCATATCTATTAAGTTTAGGTACCAAACTGTAATTTGTATTTGGACATGGGTACAAACCCAAATCCATTTGTTATAAACCCAACCCAACCCAAAGTAAATGGGTATGGGTACAAACCCATCAAACTCTACCCATATCCATCTATTTGGATTTCATACCCAACCCAATTGGGTTGGATAGTTAAAAACCCATGGGTATGGGCAAAATTGTCATCCCTACGGTATGTGTAACACCCTACCCTATACGTTTTGCCTAATCATATTGTTCATACAATTGCAGCGGAATTAATCTCGGGTGTTACATTAATTATAAAAATAAAATAAAATTTCGACATGAATTACTCGTGTAATGGGCTAACAGTTCTTGCAACTAGACCTGCAAAATAATTTATTTGAATCCCTGCACTCCTAGACATACATATATACTCACAACCATGTACATTGGCTTTCGTAGCCATAGTCACACTTTCGTACTCTGCAACTACATACCATACTTATACATGTCATAATCGTCACAACTTACACAACTATACACATATCATCAACCTTCCACACCTGTGGATATCTCACACTTTATCTGAAGCTAGTATGCACATGAAAAACGTTCTCAAAACATTTTTACAAAAAGGTGTGGATCACTGGCCAAAATCCCAAGTAGTCGGCCAAGCACAGAATAGTTGAAGACCATACCTCATATTGACTTCAACTCTAGCTCCTCTCCCACCTAACACTTATCTATTGTTGCTGCTGCTGATCTGCTTACACATAACATAAGCATAGAAGAAGAATAGAAAAGGGTCAGCTCATAGCTGAGTGAGACAATCATTGCATCGTGAGTTCATAACAGAGCATACCCCTACCATACATCTAGCAAACAAGCCAAAGCACTAGGATCAGACCTCAGCCATCCGACATCCCAATAGGCAAAAGACTCAACCATCTTGACTTATGCATATGCATCTTATCATGTTTTACTTATAGGCGCCTGGCTACTCCCATGCTAATAACTCTCTCGGGAAACATACCCCACATCCCGTCGGATGTAGTCATACATACCCCAACATCCCGTCGGATGTGGTCATACATACCACACACCACTATGGGTGTAGTCATACCCTGACACCGCTCTGGGTGTGGTCATATCTCGTAAGAATTCTTCAGTCACCACCACATGAGAGGTGTGACTATCTGACTCGCTAAAACACAACTCCTAACAATGGCCAAGTGTAACCAATGAAAGGGACTGCAGTATAGTGGCTCAAGTAATAAATATCGAATCCACGGGTCTCTAGAGTTACTATTACTCAGCTTCAGTTCATTATCTAGCAAAACAGATTAAGATGAAAGAACTAAAACTACTCTAGCAAACTACAGTTAAAGTTAATCTAATTACAGGTTGGGAACTCACTTAGGTATGATTCCCCCTAGCCACTAGCCAGATTAATGATCGATGATTTCTAACTTGTTTCACTTCATTCACAATGCGGAGAATCCTTGACTAGACCTTGAGTCTCGACTAAAGGAACAAGGCCCTCTTGAGTCAATTGCCTAGAGGGACGTATCCTTCTCTAGAACAATCGATCAAGGCGTGCTGAACTAGACTCCCTCTATCGAATGAGGTTCTCAATCGATACAAAGCAGTGAATCAACCCTCGACTAAAGAAATCGATCCACTACTATCAATCTATGGTGCTCTATTGACCTAATCAGGTATTCGCTCTCATAGGATCAAAGCAGAATCAATAATCTCGACTAAAGCAGAATTGAATCGTGAAAACATGCATAGATTGAATATGAACTCAAGATTATCAAGTCAGAGTACTCATGCAATCATCCAATCAAACAAACATAGCTAGGGTTCCTCAAAACCTAAGTGAAGGGAAGTTACTCCATAAAGAAGAGAGAGACTGCAGTAAGAATCTTCAGATGATCAGTCTTCAAGTCCGGGCTTGATTCCCGAGCTCCAATGGCGAAGAAATCCTCCAAAATAGCTCCAAGAATGTTCCCAAGTCGCTCTCTCTCTCTAGGGTTCGTCCCTTGGGTGTTTGGGATCCAAAACCCATCTCCCTCAAAAACGCACAAAACAGGCTTTTAACAGCCTGCGTTCGCGATCCCCGGTCGAAATACCCGGTCGGGTATTTCAGGGTTCGACCGGGTATTTCATAAAACGCGACGTTCCACTTTGGGGAAAATCCCCGGTCCAACATCAAAATCCCCGACCGGGGATCTAAGGCCATCGCCCGGGCCCCCTTCTGCTTCTCACGGGTGCCAAAAACGATAAATACCCGGTCGGGTATTTTGCCATCTGACCGGGTATTTTCCTCCTGCAGCCCCCTTAGTCCCAACTCGGCTCCTTTCGACCCAGAACTCGTTTCTCCGCCTCGATTCCAACGCCGGGTCCTGAAATATGACATAAACACACAACCTAGCGTGAAATCGGCTTAAAACACGAGATTCCACATCACAAACGGCTTCAGAATAGGGGTGAAAACATGTGTAATTATCGGTCTATCACTATCATACATATCATAATAGAGTAATAGCATAGGGAGCCCTACTTACTATGTAGTTGACCGTGAGACCACAACACTCATATTTGGTATCCTTATACATGATTCATATCTCATCTTGCTTAATCATAATTCATTATTTGCACATGTACTTGACCTGACCATAATTGGCTCAACATAGGTAAACCAGGAGTCGTATAGTTGCACTTCCTCGGGATAAACCCTCGTGCAAGTCATCCTCCTTAAAACATCATAATATCACCTTGGGAAGTTTATTTCCCCCACTTGTGAATCCAAATACAACCACAATATCACATCATGTCAAAACACCTGATCGAACAACCATGAAGTCATATCAACGGTTAAGCCACAAATGGCAACATGTATGCAATCATCAACATAAACAAGGTCCATATCGGCTAGGGCAAGTCAATAATATCATACAACAATCCAGGGTTCATCATACAACACAAAAGTTCATACACCCCTAATCATGCCATTCTAGTTCACCTAGGTCAATTCTAAGCATCAATATAATTATCGTGCTACGACAAACCCGGTATGCCGTGCTAATCCCTCACTAGTTCTGGTCGTTCAAACATCGATTTAAGCTTCCCGTACTAAAACATCAATTTCACTAACGAACCCCGAATTAAAATCCGAGACCGTCCTAATATCACCTGCAGTATCCCCGTCAATGTTAGTTCTAGGCTCCGGGTCAAATTCTCGATAAAAACACATCAAACCCTGGCCGGAGCTAAATTAAGCGATTTGGACCCCAACCTAAATAATTGCCGAAATTCAGGGATTAGAACCAGATGATTAATTACCTCGCTGCAGGAAGCTCGTATATGAAATCTGGGCCCAATCCGGCTTCCGGATACTCCGAAACCCTAATTTGGCTAATCGGGAATTCAAGAAATTCCTGAACCAAAAACTCGTTTTAAAGCTTTAAATCGATAAACTACGATGTATAGATGGATTAGGTATTACTTACGAGATTTTTCCACACTCAAGCTCAAGAAATTAGCTCTGCTAATTCTCCGTCGAGCTCCCCTACTCGCTCTGCTCGCTATGCTTTCGTATCTCTCGGTCACAGAAAAGGAAAGATGGAACGTGAAAATGGAATGGGAGAAGAGGTCACGTGTGTGTATATATATATATATATATATATATATATATATATATATATATATATATATATATGGCTAAATTACACGTTTGGTCACTCAAATTATACAAATCTTTCACGTTTGCCACCCGAATTACTTTTCTTTCTTATTCGCCACTAACTTTACGAATCGTTTCACGGTTGGTCACCGGCCGTTACACTCCGTTAAGTTTGTCCTGCGTGGCAGTCAACTATAAAGTTTGACCGTTAACTAGATGACGTGGAAATTAAAAAAAATAAATTTTTTTTCTTTCCACCTCATCATTACACTTATTTTGTCTATATAATTTATCATATTAATAATTTAATAAAATTTAATAAATTACAAACATGGGCAAATCCAAATGCTATCATCCTCACCCTCACCATCCACTCCATTGTTTCCCGTTTTCGTCGCCGTCGCTCAAAACGGCATGGCGGAGATCATAGCCAACGATCAAGGCAACCGGATCACACCTTCCACCGTGGCCTTCTCCGTCGCCGATTCCGAGCGCCTCGTCGGTGAAGCCGCCAAGAATCAGGCGGCATTCAACCCTCGCCGGACTTTCTTCGACGCCAAGCGCCTAATGGGGAAAAAATTCGAAGACCCAGAAGTTCAGAGGGATTTGAGGTACTTACCCTATCCCGTGGTCAATCAAGGCCGGAAGCCGTACTTCGAAATCAAAGTGGTTAAATCAGAAGAAGAAGGGCGGCGGAGGAGGAGAAATCAAAATATGGTTTACCCCAGAAGAGATCAGCGCCATGGTTTTGGGGAAGTTGAAGGAAACCGCTGAATCTTACCTCGGAGAACCCGTAAGCGACGCGGTTGTCACAGTCCCGGCCTATTTCAAAGACTTGCAGAGGCAGGCCACAAAGGACGCGGGCAAAATCGCGGGGCTAAACGTCCTCCGAATCATCAACGAGCCCACCACGGCGGCAATAGCGTATGGTTTGAATAACCTAAATCGGAAGAGGAAGCAAAAGAAGAGCAAGATTCTGATGTATGATTTGGGCGGGGGAACTTTTGATGTTAGTGTTTTGGAAGTAGACAATTTCATAAAAGAGAGCATGAAGGTGCAGTGGATGAAGAAGTGGTTCTTCGTGGAGACGCTGGACAGAATCCTTCCCCATTTTTGGACTTGATGCAGGAGATAGTCTGGTGACGGAAACGATGGAGTGGATGGTGAGGGTGAGGAAGTTGAGCATTTGGATTTGCCCATTTTTGTAATTTATTAAATTATTAATATGATAAATTATATAGACAAAATAAGTGCAATGATGAGGTGGAAATAATTTTTTTTAATTTCCACGTCATCTAGTTAACGGTCAAACTTTATAGTTGACTGCCACGTAGGACAAAATTAACGGAGTGTAACGGCCGGTGACCAATCGTGAAACGATTCGTAAAGTTAGTGGCGAATAAGAAAGAAAAGTAATTCGGGTGGCAAACGTGAAAGATTTGTATAATTTGAGTGACCAAATGTGTAATTTAGCCATATATATATAATGGAAAGTGATTATTCCACCTCATCCTCTCCGTCCATTTCTTTTCATTTTTAGTTTAAGTTTGCTTTTGGTTCAACAACACACACGTGTAGTAATATTAGTATAGGTATATTTATATATAGTAATTGGTACTTATTCGATAGATCGATAATCCGATTTTTGTCGAAATACTATCAAAACGCTCGATTTTAAATCGCGAACTCTCTAGCGATCGAAATATGGTTTTGCCGGAACGGGATGTTACAGTATGATACATACCAACCTTTGGGTTGGGTTGGGTTTGATGGCCAACCGAAAACCAAGATTGAGTTGCGGTTGCCTGTTTCCCGGCTTGGAGCAATTATAGCGGTTAGCGGTTGAAAACCGCAACCGTACAAATTAACCGCAAAAACCGACCCAGTCACTAATTCGGCGTCGTTTCTCCTTTGGGCGGATGCCACTTCTCTTCTCGGCCACCCAGACCCAGACCTAGTCCCCTCCCCTGACCTAAATCTAAATCGCAAATCGAAGACGAAGGAGACGACATCAGAATCTCAGCCGCCGCTCCTCCGCCTCCCCATTTCTGAACGGCTGAACCTTAGCCTCGCCGTCGAGCTCGTCACAGCGCCATCCTCCTGCTCCCAGCCTTCTTCGCATCGCCGCCCTCCCGCTTCCAGCCTTCGTCGTTGCCGAACTCCCTGCCAGAACTCGTCGTAGCGGGTTTCGACTAACCGCTCCATCAAACTGAAACCGACGGTTGCGGTTGGCGGTTAACCGAGCTCTCTTCGGTTTCGACTTCGGTTGGGGAATATGGGCAAATTTTGGTTTCGGCTAACCGACGGTGCGGTTCGGTTAAACCAAAACCGCACCGATTAACAGCCCTAGAGATATGAACACTCAATTTTCCATTTTATGGCGAACGAGCATTAGAAGCATAAGGAAATAAGTTGTTTACAAGATGAACATGGGTAGTGGGTGGAGAGGAAGGCAAAATTGGCAAAGATTGCTAGGGTCACTAAGCTGTTCAAGGCTGGAAATTGTGACTAAGTCGGTTGTAAACATGATGACGCAGGTGGTAACCAATATAGTAAAAAACGTGTTTCTAAGTAGAAGTGTTTTGGTGACCTAGAAACGTAAAAATGTAAGTTTTAAGGGTGTTTTTAACTACATTAGTAAAAAAAAAAAGGAGTAATTATGCGTAGAAACATTTTGGTGACCTAGAAGCGTAAAATCTTAAGTTTTTAAGTTTTAAAACGTAATTTTTACTACATTGGTGGTAACATAAGATGACACTGGTTACTTGTTGGCTCCCCGAAGAAATTCGATAGGCGGTTACTTATTAATTAATATTTTGTGCAGTTACCCTTATACCATTGTTGTTATACTAACAACACTTAAAGGTGTTGTTATGCTATCCGGAGCTCCGCCCCCTCGTCCTCGAAGCTAATTAAGTAATTAACTAAAAGCGCAGGCCCCGCCAAAAAGTTCAGATAAACAAAACGAAAATGGCCCGACCCGACACCGTTATCCGGGCTCCGGGATCCCTCTCTCTCTTTCTTCCTCCCCCTTCTGAATCTCAGAAAAAATAGGGTTTCCTCAACATAAACTCCCACAGCGCAACGAATCCCCGCCATTTTTATCCCGTGCCAGGCGTTGCTCTGTACTCTTTACTCTCCATACTCTCCTGGTAATCGCGCTCTCGCTATCTAATTATGACCTTTACCTCTTTCCCTTAAATGTCAATGGAGCTCTATGAACCCTTCTCATTTGTCTATCTCCATTTTACTGAATGGGTCTTACATTTCCTTGCTAATTTTTTATTCGCTTCATCAAAGTTTGAGCTCCCTCGTTTGGTGAGCGTAGAAGGGCTGAGGAATTACTGGGTCTGACTGCATGTGAATGTTTGGGTTGGCGGTGAAAGTGGTTTTGCGGGGATGTCTAGCCTAGCTGTAGGTTAATGAGCAATCGATTTCGTGTTTGGTTTGTGCCTTGTGGTGAAAGTTTACAACTTTTGGCTTCATTTCCCACTAATGGGCTGGCTCTTTCCATATTTGGTTCATCTTTGGCCATTTGGAGGCCTTGTGGAGCTGGTATTGCTCAAGCAGTGTTTAGGAGCAACTTTGCGTTGTTGGTGTTAGTTTGCTTGTCCCCTATTTGGAGAACAATGGAATTGTATTTGGTCATTTAGGCTGCCCAATGGTGTTTGTCTTTGGTATATCAATGATGGAATAAGAAGTTAGTTTCCATTGTACTAGGTGCGCCCTATTTGTTCATGATTCAGTATATAATTTGAGCAGAACTTTAGAACTTATATCCTCCTTTTGGCTTCTGTATTGCTAGTTACTACACCCGTACTAAAAATGCACTGATTGCAAGGAATAGGGGATCAATTTAGTAACAATGGGTTAATTTCTCTAAAATATCAATGCCGCCTTATTAATCTTGGTTTGGATTATGTTTTAAAGTGGCAGTGCAGAATAGGGAGTTAGTCTGCAGTCATGTACTTAAGAGCATGTATCTCCCACCCATTAATCCTCAATCTTATTTTCAAACTAATTTTATTATATGGTAATCATGTGGTTATTTTCGGTTTTCCTGATTGTTATAGTCTATTACTGTCGCACTGTGTTGAGTTGAGCTTTGCTTATTTAGAAAGTCGATGGAATTAGTTCTGTATCTCATTCATACCTTTCTATTTTGTTTGTTTGTTTTTTTCTGTTTGGCCCTTGTTCTGGGTAGATGTATATCTCCAGATAGTATTGAACAATCAAAACCACACCTATTTTCTTGGCCAATGGCATTTCAATATCAAGCATCGGCCTGCTTCATTATTACATATTTTTTCTGTTTCACCTATTGAACATCGTCCTCTTCATCATCAGTTGTGACCCTCCCTTGCTTGTTTTATTGCTATTTGGCACTTCGTTGGATCCCTTAATTGAATATCACTTCTTACACCTCCTTTGGATCCTTATCTTTCTTATGGCTCAAATTCTCGAAATTCTCTTGCTCTTGAAATCCATTTCGCCTCTCACTTTGTTTCCACCTTTCAATACTTGTACTCTTTCTTCCATGAATGCTTCTGGCTGCTGTGCTTCCTTCACAGTTTGCCTTGAAAGCTTCTCTATTAGATAACATAAAATGCCGAGGACAAGGGAAAATGAAAAGTCTGTGGACTCTGAGCCCGAGGAACAGGTTGATCTTGAAGATGATAATGACCTTGAAGAACAGATGGAAGAAGAGGTTGAGTATGAGGAAGTAGAGGAAGAAGTTGAAGAGGAAGAAGTCGAAGAGGAAGAGGTGGAAGAGGAGGTAGAAGAAGATGAGGAGGATACTTCTAATGGTACTTCAGAAAAAGGCTTCAACGGTGAAGAGGAAAGTGAGGAAAAGAAGCATGCTGAACTCCTGGCACTACCCCCTCACGGGTCTGAGGTTTATGTTGGAGGTATCCCCCATGATGTTTCTGAACATGATTTGAGACATTTTTGTGAATCGGTTGGAGAAGTTACAGAGGTAAGTTTGTGTTCTCGTTTCTATAGTGGATATTCTTGGTCTCTTAGCTTCCGGACGGATTTAAAGTTTGCATTCCTGAATGAAATCAGGTGAGGATAATGAAAGGAAAAGAATCAGGTGAAGGCAAGGGCTATGCATTTGTCACTTTCAGAACAAAGGAGTTGGCTAATAAAGCCATGAAGGATCTAAACAACTCTGAATTTAAGGTGACTCTTTTCTTTTACTTCTTAAACTATGTCAACTAGCTTGTTATTCTATGTTTCATTTGCTGGTGGTCTGAAATTCATTATAATTTATTTTACCTGTATTTGAACTGCTGTTTTCAGGGTAAGAAAGTCAAGTGCTCCGCGTCTCAAGCAAATCATAGGCTGTTTATTGGTAATATACCAAGAAGTTGGGGGGAGAAAGATATGAAGAATGTCGTAATGAAGATAGGACCAGGAGTTGTTTCTGTGGAACTGTTGAAGGTTTGACTAGTTTGAACTTCACATCAACATGAAATTAGATTTACTGAGATTGCAATAGTCTTGTTGTCGACAATCGTTTGATGTCTTCTGCAGTCACACAAGTTTTGCCTGTGTTCCTTATCATTGTTGACTTGTTTTTTCTTCTGCTGCTCCATTATAATGATCAGTTGCCACTTCCTGTTACAGGATCCGCAGAACCCTATTCGGAATCGAGGATTTGCTTTTCTCGAGTACTATAATCATGCATGCGCAGAGTACTCTAGGAAAAAGATGTCAACCCCAGAGTTTAAACTGGATGATAATGCCCCAACAGTGAGCTGGGCTGATCCGAAAAATGCAGGATCTTCTGCTGCTTCTCAGGTACTATGTAGTCTTGATAGGCTCATGAATAGTTCTTGCCATTTTCTATTTGAATGTTGGTGAAGGAGCTGCAACACTTCATTTGTTGTACATTTTGTCTTTAAGGCTACTAGTGTTGGTATCTTCGTACTTTGGTTGTTGCCTATTATTGAGTGCTTCAGTTGAAGTAACGTTAGTTCTCAAACTTCATGATTTATCAGTTGTTTTAAAGAAGTATTTGGATTTGGCTTTTCATGTTCTTAAAAGATCCATGTGGCTTGGGTTATCTGTTGAGTCTTTAATGAGTCCACACAAATCTTTCAACGACAGCATGATGGGTGTTTCATGAGGCATGCTTATGATGCAGGTTAGGGCTATTTATGTGAAGAACTTGCCAAAAGATATAACTCAAGATCAATTGAGGCAGCTGTTTGAACACCATGGAAATATAACCAAAGTAGTTCTCCCCCCTGCAAAACCAGGACATGAGAGGAGCAGATTTGGGTTTGTGCACTTCTCAGAAAGATCGAGTGCCATGAAAGCACTGAAGAACACTGAGAGATATGAAATTGATGGTAAAGGGTCCCCTCCCTTCTCTCTCTTTATTGTGTGTTCCTGTATCTCTAATTTAAGAGAGTGTGAACCATTAACTATGCCCCTTCTTTCATTTTGACAGGTCAAGTTCTGGATTGTTCTTTGGCCAAGCCTCAAGCAGATAATAACAAGTCTGTTGCAGGAACTACTTCACAAAAGGCAGCCTTCAATCCAAGTTTCCCCCCTGGTCTTGGGTATGGTTTAGTAGGAAATCCTTATGGTGCTATTGGTGGATATGGTGCTGCGGCCTTTGCTCAAGTAAGAACACCTATTCTCCTTTAAAGGATGTTTGTAGATTTTCTGGCATCTCATCCCATTGGTACTTGAATATTATCTGATGTTATGGGGTGGGTTTGTTTGAGCTTTTGCAAGATAAACAAAAATAACGTCTGATGAATAAGTGTGTTGGTGTGCTAAAACACACTCCATGCGTCTCTGTAGATTTTATATTCTGAAGGAGCAAATTTTTTGCAGCCTTTAATTTATGGTAGGGGACCAACTCCGGCTAGCATGGCAATGATGCCGATGTTCTTACCCGATGGAAGGGTTGGATATGTATTGTAAGTGACATCTTATTCTTCTTATTACCAATCCCACCACTTCTGGCTTCTGCTAGCCTGCTACATGCTCACATCAGCTTATTGTTTTATTGCGGAACTTCTGGAGAAGGTAGCTATTAGTGGCTAAGTTTGACAATGGCTTCTGGTTGTTCTTCTGCAGGCAGCAGCCTGAGATTCAACCACATCCCCCTGTATTCCAACATCGTGGTGGTAGAGGTGGTGGTTCAAGCAGCTCCGGCAGTGGTAAACGTTATAATGACAGTAATCGTGGACGTGGGCGCTACAATCCATATTAACCTTTGTGTGTACAACTCCGAATGTTCAGCACTGAACCCTTTCTGCTAGCTTGACATTGTATGCTGATGAATGGATTTGTATTGTTAGATGATGGAAACATGGAAAAATGGTTCTTCCCCTTGTTAGTAAAGTTTCCCATTGGTGAGTAAACCCTTCTGTACGAAATCATATAGTGAATGTGTGAAAATTGTCTAGGTTTTTAGTGTTTTCCTTGCTGATGAAGATTTCGACACCGGCTGCCGAGAAACTAATTTACAAAATAGGTAAAATAAGTTAAATAGAGAACCTAATTGAAGATCTTTTTTTTTTTGGACAAGCAATTGAAGATCACTGAACACATGATCTAATGACATCAACATGTTCTGACATCTGCATCCGTTAGATTCTAGGGATACTTTTAACAAGGTTGCAGCAACAATGCTCATATGATTATATTTCGTTATAGTACATTTTCAGGTAAATCAAGGCACAAAACTAACAATGCACTTTATTGGAACGCAGTTGGTTTGGACATTACAATTGTGAGGCATACATCCATTCGATGCACAACACTATTCTATAAAAATACATACACTTTTGTGTCCCTTGCTCCTTCAACCAAGGGGATCAAAAGAGGGATTAAATTAAACAACTTTCTCTTAGGGACCAACTGCCAGTTCTCAGCAGGCAAAACAACTTCCTAATATTTCCCTTCGATCAAATCACAACGACCGCAGTATGCATATGCTTGTGCTTCTTTCCTGCAGAAATCCCCAGCGGTTGACTATGATGCGGATAATAAGTTCTCCTAAACCTGTTGACACAACAACAATTGACAACCCTAATGAGAATGATAACCATTACCAGAAAATTACAGTCACCACTCATGAACTCGGAATAGGATCAAGTGAAGTCAACCACCTTATTATACCTACTAAGAGAAAGTGCATATATCTTTGACAATTCAGTTCTAGATTTCAGAACTTAATGTAATATCAAACATACAGTTTTCTACAAACAGCACATAATTGATTATTTTGCAAACTGTGATATACTATACGGGCAAGAGAGTAGTATAGTGCATGCTTAACTTGAAGATGACCAAAACTGCTTCAGGTGCTGCTCAGAGGATACTCGAGAGGTCATCAGGAGGGTCAATCCAAATATTCCCAAAAGGATCTTGTTCACCCCAATCATAACACTGCTTCCGAGGATAGTATCTATGATCATCAAGAGAATAGGATATGCATCTTTTCCCAAAGAACCGAACCTTAGAGAAATAGACACTGTTCCTCATAATTCCCGGCAGGTCAATTCTAGAATGAGATGACAAGAAACTTGCAAACAATGTCAACCCATTGAGAGTACTCATCTCTTCCCAGACCATGTTTGATTGATCCAACCTAAATATAATCGGATTCTGACTGCAACAAGTATAAATAACCAAAATATCTCCATCATGCTCGGTCATGAATTTCCCCTTCCACCAGTTCTTAGCAAAGAAGTTCTCAGGACATTTAGGGGGCGGTACAGCAAGAACGTTCCAAGTACGTTCCGTCGGGTTGAAAACACCTAACCAACCCGTAAGACTCAAGCAGTAAAAGACTCCATCACAGAAAACTATCTTATTCCATATACTACTAACAAAAGGCAGCCGATTCTGGTAATTAACAGTAACCCATTCGGTTGCCCCGGGGTGACAAGTGCTGATAGCAACAACTGTAGGACTGATATGCTTCACTGTAAATACCACGCAGCCTGAAGTTGTTGGTGGACCAGAGAAGGCGACTATCTGGAACGTCAACTCAAACCTGGGAAGTTTGACGACCTCCCGAGTAAACGGGTTGAAAAAGAAGACACGATGTGTTCTAGGTCTGTAGAGCAACAACCATCGGTCCTTAGTATAGCACACTCTCGACCCACAAAGCTCTGACAGCTCTAGTGAATAGGTCTTGCGCTGTGATGGGTCGTAGAACTCATACAAGTTACCAAATTTCGGGAAGTACATGAGCCATGGAGGTTGGTTCACCACTCTGACAGAGACCGCACCCGTGTGCCATCCCTTGCAAGCAACTGAGGCACGGATGTTGTCTTGAAGAGACAACCGACAGAATATCATTTCCAGCAGCTCTATAGGAAGGTCGGACCAGGACCGGAGATCTGAATTCTGGTTACTGTTGTTCTTGAACCTCGGTGTTCTGCTGTCATTGGTCACGGCTTCAGCTAACCTATACCAACAACGGAAAAAAGCATCACCAACATGTATATGGAGGGTACCCCTAACTTTCACTGGACACAAGCACAGTTACACTGGGCTGTCATAAGGCAAATGAAAAGCATAATATGATGATCAAAACAAGTCCATCAAAAGAAATCAAAATCATAATTCAGGTCAGTCGAAGGACTGAACTTTGCATGACCCAAACGGGAGAATAACCAACAGCATCACTGCAAATCACACTCAATTACTACCCATCCGACAAGAAAACGCAGAAGAAAACCCCAATTCCCTTAACCCAGTCGCCCATAGTCTGCCCAAACCATAGAAGAACGACCGGAATCAAAACAAGCAGCTCTAAAGCCCTTCAAATCAGGCCATCAAAACCCTAATCCCAAACCCACGCATAACAATTATTTCAGAAGTGCAGCGGGGAAATGGAAAAAAGAGTCGACACACAGATTTGTAACAAAACCAGCGGGGAAACGAGGTACCCACGATTTGACTTTCCTTCTCTTTCTACCCGCCATTGGAAGCAGAGAACTTCCGTCCGCTGAGATTCAGCTTCGCAGAGTGATGGAGGGACGATACGAGAGAAAAGGCGGAAGAGAGAGATATCATATAGCTATACCAGAAAAGGCAAATTAAAAAAAAAAGGAAAAATTAAATTGAAAGAAAATAAAAGCCAAATTATAGTGCCGTTTGGCCTTGCGCTGTAGAAAAGAGCAGAGCCGCCGACTACACGTGTAATAATTCACCGCTAGTTCTTCCATGTAGCCTTGCACATTTGTACCCGTCACCCTAAACCCAATCGCTAACCGCCACGTCGCTTCGTAAACCACAACTCTGACTTCCGCCGTTGACTCTTTTGGATGTCGCCGGACCTATAAACGGTCTCCAAATGGAAATTGGACCGGCGCCCACTCACCAACCTACACGGCGCCGTTTACATTCGCCGGCGACCGAGTTTTACTAATGGTACTTCCGCCTGAAGACTGGGAAATCTACTGATAGATCAGATTAAGATAACGAGAATCGAATCGGCGATCATACATTGAAATCCAGATCGAGAACTGTATTTATTTCGATGCAGAGACTACGATCAAATGGAAATCTAGCCCTCAATCGAATCTAACAGAAAGATTGCTGCAAGAGCAAGATCAAAGATTGAACAAATTAAATTAACAAGTCACAAGTGTTACATTCCATTCCATTCCTTCCCTCAGGAACAGGAATAGCCGCCAAAAGAAGCAAACTTTTACACAAATCATCGACGAATCAAATCCCCCCACCCTCAAATAATCTCAATCTCAGCAGCAGATGGGGCACTGAACCAATCCATTCTCATTACACCTACCACACCTCACCTTCTTGTTGAGAGCACAATCCAAGACCTTGGAACTTCCATTACACTCTTTACACATCACAAACCTGACCCCGCCGCATCTCCGGCAGCCGGAGCTCATCCTCCTCGGAATCCCGCCGAACAGAGCCTCCAATTTCCCTTCCTCGTCGAGCTTGGCGACCTGCTCGGCGCCACCCACGAGCCTCCCTTTGACGAACACTAGCGGGACCCTGACCTCCTTCGTACCCATCAGCCCTCTCAGCTCCTCTTTCAGGCCGGAATCCATCGAAACGTCTCGCTCGATGACGTGGACGTGGTACGAATCGACGATCGATCTCACGGCGTTGCAGTCCTCGTAGGTTCTCCTAATCCCTCGGAGCGTGGTGGTGTAGACTACCACGCTGTTCTCGCCCCCAGGAGGGCATTTCTCCTCGAAGGAACAGAGCAATGCCTCTGTATCCTCTACTTGGGAATTCTTCTTCAGTAGTTTTAGGGTTTTGCTGGGAGTCAGCGAGATGATCCTCTTCACTTGCTCTCCTTCTCCTTCCCCTTCCGCCATCTCGCGCTCGTACAGTTTGACGAGCTCCGGATCGAACAGCGGGCTGAGATTGCTGTTGAAGCTCCTCTTGGAATTTGAGTTTGAAGAAGACGAAGAAGAAAACGAAGAACCCAATTCGGTCGAGTCGGTGAGTTTGGGGGACGATTTGACTGGGTAACTGAGCCGGACCGCCGCCTTGCAATTCTTGGTGTTGTTGTTACTATTGGGCTTGAGAATCGGCCTGGGGCTGAAATTGAAGTCGGAAGAAGAAGAGGATCTCTTGTTGAACTTGTTCTCCTTGCCGCCGAATGTCTTGGCCTTCCGGGGCGACCCGATTTGATTCATGAACTTCAACGGGCTCCGCGGGTCGAACTCGGTGAACCCGCGGAGGAACGGCGGCCTCGATTTTGGGCTGTTCTTCTTCGATTGGGGTGGTACTCCTTCCTCCAGACCTTCCATCAATTCCACCGCATTGATCTCCTCCGGCGGGCACTGAGACTCTGAACCCTGTTCGGACTCGGGTACGGATTCGGGTTCGGGCGGGGCGATCTGCTTCTCGAGGAGCACCGGCGGAGGGTGGTGCTTAGGCTGGTCGAGTTGGAGTGCGCCGTAGGTGGAGGAAGTGAGGGAGACAATGTGGTTGAGGTGAGGGCTTCCACCGCCTGCGGCGGCGGCGGCATTGCCGTTGTGGAGGATGGTTTTCTCCCGGAGGAGTTCCTTCTTGACGTGTTTGGAAGAAACGCAGCCCATTTTTGAGAAACTGTCTGTGTCTGGTTTTTGGGAGTTGTGGGGGTGGTGGAAGAGATAAGTGGAGGGTTGGGAGAGGAAAGTTGCTTTTCTTTTCTGTTTTTTTTAATAAATTTTCTTTTGTCTATTTTTATTGAGGGGATGAAATTATTATATTTTTTAATGGTCGTGGAAAAGGGGGTTTCAACGGTTATCATGTCTGTTTGAGGGCCCAACGGTCGAATTTTTTTCGAATGAGATTTGGGCAGTTTTGTTTGTCGGGAAGGCCCATGTAAATTTTTCGGGCTTCGAACCACCGGGTCGGCCCTCCGGCCGTCCTGTTCTGTTCTGTGCTCTTCTTTCTTGTTTCCGAAATATATCAACCTGACAATTCAGTGGGGTTGTATTCCGGCTAGGGCGAACCAACCCGCTCATGAACGGCTTGGTGTGCGACTCGAGAAAAACTCGTTCGACACTCGATTCGTTTTAATCGAGCCGGCTCGCGAACAAGCTCGTTAACTAAACGAGCTGAACTCGAGCCATACCATGTTCAGCTCGAAAGCTCGCGAACAAGCTCATTTAATGGTTTGACATAAAAAAAGGATTAGAATTCATGGATTTTATGTGTTGAAATTGGGATAAATATTGTGTTTTACTTTGATAGACTTTGTTACAGGTTAGAATGTAATTTTATGCGCAGTTCTAGGTCAATCTTGAGCTATCATGAACATTTTACGAGCTGAACTCGAATTTGAGCTCGTTAAGCTTATTTGACGAGCCGAGCTCGAGTCGAGCTCGAGCTTTCATTTTCATAAACGAGCCGAGCTCGAGCTTGCATATTAAAGCTCGTGACGAACACGAGCCGAGCTCGAGCCTGGAAATATATTAACGAGCCGAGCCCGAACTATGGCAAAGCTCGGCTCGACTCGGCTCATTAACAGCCCTAATTCCGGCCCGACTTTTAGAGGTGTTTTCCGAGTTCAAAAGTTGAAGCCGGGCCAGGCACATGTAAAAGCTCGGCTTTTGAAAAGTCGAAAAAATGCTTTTGTGTAATATAAAAGCAGAAGCTCCGATTTAGAGCTTCTGCGAAAAGCTGTTTTAAAAATACAAGATTATCCTTATCATATTTTAATTTTATTTCAGAAAATATAATTTTCCTTCATTTATATCATTTTAAATATAAAATATATTATAAAATATATTATTTAATATAAAAGAATATAAATCTAACAAGATTCATTTTGACTACTTTTTATTGTCTAGAATTTTTATTCATATTTTATATTATAAGTTCTTTATAGTCATTTTACACAACCTCTCATATTAAAAAGCACTTCTAATAGTTTTACAGCCAAACACTCAACTGCTTTTTTTCAAAAGTACTTATCTAAAAGCTCCAGCCAGAAACTGCTTCTGCAAAAGCTGCAGCAGGGCCAAATTAAGCTATCGTTTGCTTTCTTTCTCTTCTCGTTTTCGTCTACTTCATTTAGGTAAAATGATTTAGATTTGGTATTGGAAAATTATACTTTTAAATTTTAAATAATTTGTTTGGATACTAACTAGGGGTAAATGTCACATTTGGTCACTGGGATCACTAAATCGTGTTATGTTTAGTCACTAGAAAAAATTAATATCAATTTTGGTCAATCAAATTACTAAAACAGGTCACATTTAGTCACTCCCCCGTTAGCCTCCGTCCAACTCCGTCCAACTCCGATCACTCGAATTACTTTTTTTTATGAATGTCACTCGAATTACTGAAGCATGTCACATTTAGTCACTCTCCCGTTCGTTTCCGTCCAACTCCATTAAAACATTTAACAATGTGGATCCAACATTTCCGTTAGAACATTTAAGAATGTTTGAAGTCGGATTAACTCTTACAATATGATAAACACTAAATCATCAACTATAATCAACTCTTTCATTTAACCTTTATTTCTTAACTTAAATGTATTAATCATAGAAAAATACATCAATCTCGTAAACCCTGAAAAATAAAAAACAAAAGGATATATATCATAGCAAAAACTCTCTAAATTGCTAAATTGTCAAAATCCTAAAATGAAATATAATTTAAATACAATCATTTTTGTGGACCAAATTTGGAATAAATTAGACTAATGAAAACCACAAAAGGAACTACACCAAAAAATAACAGGAAATTTACTTTAAATTAAAAAAGAAAAATGAATTCAAAAGAAGGAGAACAAAATTGTGTTATTGATAACGATGTATTTGCACATGTTTGCACCCCTAGTTCTTATCTATTTGCGGCTCGTAGTCGTGTGTTTTTGACCTATTTTACGTCGGGTGGTGCTACTTTGTCATGTTTCAGGTCCTAGACGTCGAAGGAAAGGCTAAGCACGAGTTTCGAGGCATTTGGAGGTCATTCTGTTGAGCTGGGGCCAAAGCACGGGCAGGAGGCCTGAAAAGCACGACAGTGTACACGAAAAGAGCACGCCAGTGTTTTTTTATGCTGAGAGCTGAACTGATGAGGAAGAAAAACACGGGCTGGACTAAATAAAAACACGGCCGTGTTTCGAGATCGTGTTATTTATGCCGAGGGTTGATTTTTGGAGGCTGCTGCGAAGCCCAAAACACGGGTGGAAGTGACAGAAAACACGGCCGTGTCCATCTTTAGGCACGACCGTGTTTTGGCCGATGTGGGCGTGTTTTTAACACGTGGCAAGGGCACGGACAGGCAAAAGCAAAACACGGCCGTGCCCTCGACCGTGTTTTGCCCATAGTCGACTTTTTGAGGCAGATTCGAGCCAAAAGGGAGAGAATCGACTTTTTGGAGAAAAACATAGTTTTAGAGAGAGAAAGTGCGAAGAACAAACCCTAGAAGATATTTGGAGTGGATTTCTCACCATTGAAGCCCAGATTGCATCCCCAGGAGTGAAGATTAACATCCCAGAGCAGATTCTTCCCATTGTTATGAGTATGACTGCTTTGTATTCTGTTTCCCTCTCTCTCTCTATGGAGTAGAACTTTCTCTCACTTGGGGTATGAAGAACCCTAGTTCCATTTGTTTGTGATCTTGATTGTAATGACTTGGGATTGTTATACTGTTTGGTTTTAATCGAATGATGCATGATTCATTGAATCAATTGAAGTCTGATCATCTTTTCTTGATTTCTGTTGCAACCTGAGATAGATAGAATCTGATTAGGTTGTTAGAGCTTCATCTTTCGGTAGTGGTAGATTGGTTATACGAGAGTTAATCAATCTACTGCTTTGTACTGGAACCCAATTCAAGTAGTGGAGTTCTGTGCTTATTGCCTCAGTAGTCTATCCCGGTGAAGGTTAGTCGCCTGCCGGTTAGCCTGCCTGAGAGGGCTTGGTCAGCTTAAGAGATTTCAAGCTACTGTCGGATCTTCCGCAGTTTAATCAACAGTAATTCAACCCAGGGTAATTACAACTGAGATCTAACTAAGGAGCTAGGGGGACTCATTCCCGAGTGACTCTTTCCTTGCTTTAGAAAACCGAACCATTTCCTGCTTTCTTACTGCTTTTACTTAAACCAACAATCACTCAACTTAGTTTGCTAGATAACAGATATACACGGAGTAGACAATAGATCTAGACCCCGGGTTGACAATTAGAGCTTGCCTGTTACTGCATCTCCGGACTGCGATTACACTTGGTCGCAGTTTGGTGTTGTGTTTTAGCGTGTCAAGTTTTTGGCGCCGTTGTCGGGGACCCTCTAGGTTATTGGGGAAACGTGAAAGTTTGTTACTCTAGCTTTTTCTTTACTGCATTTTCTCTCTTCCACCTGTGTGCCCTCACGGGTTGCTTTTGCTGGTTGTGTGCAGGTAGTGCATGGCCCGTAGCCAGTCGGGAGAATTACTACCATTAGACCAGGAGGTTGAACGGACCTGTAGGAACTTCAAGCGGGCTCTAAAGGCGCAACTGGTTGCGGAGGAGGTGCTAGCACAGCTGCAAATCGCCGATGAAGAAGAGATGGGTGACCCACAGGACCATGATGTGGTCCTTCCTGAGGAGCAGACCATGGGATACTACTGGACCGCCAGAGCCGAGGACATGAGGTCGCCCATTGAGCACCCTCAAGTCCCAGCCAACAACTTTGAGGTGAGCACCTCGGTCATCACTATGTTGCGCGATTCGGTGGTGTTCCGTGGCAAAGAGGGGGAGTGCCCCCGATCACATCTGAGGCGATTCCACGAGCTCATCGATGGAATCAAGATAAATGGGGTCCCAGCCGATGCCATCCAGCTGAGGTACCTCCCATTTAGTCTGGAGGGGCAGGCCAAGGAGTGGCTAGACATTCGACCTCCAGGCTCGATCACCACGTTCGCCAACCTGGCGGACAAGTTCCTCACTCGCTACCATCCCCCGTCCAAGACGGTGGACCTGCAGAAGCAAATTACCCACTTTGCTCAGGATGAAGATGATACCATCTGGGATGCTTGGGAGAGATACACCAGTCTCTTCCTCAAGTGTCCTAACCATGGTTTTACCGACGCCTTCAAGGTGGGCACCTTCTACCATGCCCTCTTCCCGGAAGACAAGTAGCTGATTGACTCGGTCTGTAGCGGGAATATGCTCACCAAAACACCGCCACAGCTGAATCAACTTTTTGAAGAGATGGCATAGTAAGGCTATGATTGGGGAACTGCGAGGAGATCGAGACGAGCACCAGGGCGGGGTGTGCATGCTGTAGCCACCCAGTCATCTAATTTGGTGCAGGTGGCATCGAAACTGGTTTCAGCCATCGATCGCTCTGGGATGATTGCAGGTACATGACAACAACAGGCGATGCATTGCCAGTGGTGCGAGAGCACCCATCACATTGTGGAGGACTGTCAGGCGATGAGGGAGTCAACTACACCCCAGGAGTAGGTGAACTTCATCAACAACGTTAGGCGCAATGACCCCTACAGTAACACGTATAACGAGGGATGGTGCCAGCATCCAAACTTCTCCTGGGCTGGGGCCAATCCTAGACCACCAGCCTCCCAAGGACCGTCAGGATTCCAGATGCCGCCATATCAGCCTAG